TTATGTTTTCGAAGGATATTTTGAGACTTTAGTACCTGTACTGAAATATTCATTTATGTTGTATATCTTATTTGTTATTGAAATTATTTTCAAATAGTCTTCACCACGATTAACAATTGGTAAAATAATAGAGTGTACGATTTTAAACTTAATATTTTTAAAGTTAAATTATCTGACGATGAAATTACGTGGATAGTTTTTAGAAATTTAAAATTTTATGTGTGAGAGCTATTTTTTCTTATAAATGTCAAAACTAAAACTAACGTTTTCATGATAATTAATTTATCATGAAAACAATAATTTTTGAGTTATGCCAGTCTTGTAGTAAATGAGCGATATGTATTTTAAACGGTTGCTTTTATTTGATCCAATTGTGATACATATTTATCTATTATATTTAGGGAAAATAGTATTGTCATTATATGAACAATAATCAGGGCTTTTGCCATACCAGAGAAACGCTATATTTTTTCTTCCGAATTCAATGTATGTCATATCGAAATTTCACCGATACTACGATGTTAAACACTTCAAAATTTCTTAAAGTTTTACTAATTTATTTACAAAATAAAAGTTACTAAACCACAGTGCAGTGGTGAAAACCAATCCATCCAAAGTGCGTTAGTTAACAACACGTGTTTATCTCACATTTTCATACCTTAAATATGTATGTGGGTACTTCAAAGATAAAAGACTCAAAATGTGTACTGTGTCGAAGGTCATTTGTCAAGAATTGGAAAATTTGTGCACAAATTCACTTATTTCAACTGTAGTTACATACATACAGTGTCTCTCACAAGTATTCGAATTTAATGTATTATGAAAACAGACATCATTTTATAATAGATTTTGTGGGAAAAATAAATAAATAAATTTATTATGTTGTCCAGACAGTCCTTAAATTTTATACCACATTTTAAAAATTAAAAAAAAAAATAATTTACTTAAACTAATTTTATTTTTTTAAAAAAAGTGCAAAAAATAGCTTCACAAAATTATTCGAATTTTTTGTATAAATCATATTTAGATTAGCATTATGAAGTAAAAATAAATAATTAAAATGAAATTAATGTTTTGTATAGTAGCCTTTGTTTTTAAAAACAACTTCCAAGCGCCGTGGGACCGTTTCTACCAATTTATGGAATAGTTCTGGCGTTATTATGTCCCATTCTTCATGCAAAGCAACCGTATGGTGGTTTTAGAGGATAATGAGTGATTTAAAAGTTGTTCTTGTAAATATAACCACAAATTTTCAATGGAGTTTAAGTCCAGACATATACTCCATTGAAAATTTGGTGAAAGAAGATACTTAGTGTTGTAAATGATCAACATTTTCACGTACCAGGTCGTGTATTTTGGATCGTTTTTCTGTTGAAAAATAAATTGAATGGGTTGTAGCCCCATTTTGGTGGTACTAGCATGCAAATTCTGCTCTAAAATTGACAAGTGGACCTTCTAGTCTATAATTACAATAATAAATTTTAGCACTCCAACACCGTGGACGAACACAGAACCCCAAAATATGGCAGAGCAACTTGGGTCCTTTACAGTTGGTTTTAAGTTAGATAATTCCAAGGCTTCTCCAAGCTTTCGCCATATCATTTGACGACCATCTGAGCCAAAAATATTATATTTGTTCTAATCGTCGAAGATAACTTCCTTCCAGAATCCAATATTCTTACTTATGAGTCTATTTGCGGAGTCAAGACACTTAACATCGATTAACTTCGATATGAGCGGTTTCCACCTTGGTACTTGACCATGCAAATTATTGCTCCCTAGTACTTTGCCCACAATTTCGACACTAATTTTTATTCACAGGACTGTTATGAGTTCGTTGTTAATTTTTGGAGCTGATAGATGAAGGTTCCTTCGGTATTTCCTCAGTATTTCTCTGTCGTCCTGTATTGACAGCAGTTTTGGACGACTTGATAATGGTAAATACTCAATGGAATTCTTTGTTCCATGCGTGTAATGACAAAATATATTGTCGATGGGAATCTATCAACCATTTCCTATGTGTATTTAATTGATCGGCCTTGATTATTCAGATATAAATTAATTTTTTAATTTGAATTGATCAACTCTTTTTCTTTGGACATTTTAAGCGCTTACACAGGAAGGATTTACAACATAATTATGCAAATTTCCAAAAAATATAATGTTAAATATTCCATATAACCACTACCTGCATAATGGGTTAATTAATGGGCAATAAAACACGTGTTCAAGGATTCTAAAGAAGTTCTTAGAAAAAATTCGAATATTTTTGCGCAGTACCTGAAATGACCCTTTTTGGGTTTTTTCCATTTTCTTGGAAACCATTAATGAGTTTTTATTACTTTTTTCTTGTATTTCGTAGAAATAATATAAATTAATAAAATTTCATTAAAAAATTTTAAATACTATTATTATTTTTAAAGTAACATCATAAAATAACACAGTAATTCATAAAAAATAATAAATTCGAATATTTATGTGAGACACTGTATGTATGTATGTAACTACATACATTAACTTATCCCTTTCGTAACAGGCGTTTAATTTGTCATTGTTAAAATATGTACATATGTATGTATGTACAGTAGAGGTGTCCAAAAAACATCGATTTTGCTCAAATGGGTCTTATTTTGTTTATTAGTGTCTAATGGTGGAAGTACACAACACGCGTTGAGGCGGCAACGCGTTTCACGCTTTTCAAACGATTTGCGCTTTATAATCGGCAAGTTACACACCACGCGTCATTTTGATCTTTCTTTTGATGTTTTTTAAGACTATTACTGTTTTAAAAATCAAAATTTTAAGTTTTGTATATTTTTTTCCAATGTTGGAGAAATTTATTTCATGTTAGTTTCTATACAAAATAAAATACAACCCTGATCAGCTGCCGACGCGTCTAAAGTTAAAAGTTGCTGAACTTTTCGCGGCAGACGCGTTACAAACTACAATGTGTAACTTGTCAAATGAAAATACACTATTTCAACTTTTTTTACAGAAGCCTATAACGCGTTGCATCGTACAACGCTTGTTGTGTACTTCCTCCACCTTAAAACTTACTGGTGTTAAATTTTAGTCAAATCGGATAACGGTAACCCGTGCCGGAAATCGATTGAAAAGTTATGTAAATAATAAGACTTTTTTGGTTTCTTCAAAAATTGTACCATTAAAATAAAAATTGCCTTAAAAATATGTTTTTTTTTAATATTTCATATCTATTGAACATTTTCTATGGAAAGAAGTTTCGATGTTAATTTTAGTGCCCCGTCTTTAAAATTTCTTCTCGCTGAAAAAAATTTAAAAACAGTTCTAAAAGCTCTAAGTTGACAATGCAGATCTTAAACCCATCAACAGGAATAAAATGTTCGAATCAAACTTATTTGGTTTTCAATACAACATTTTGTGCGATGATCATACATATGAATCAGGGTTGGCAAAGTTACTAGAAATATACTTATTTTATACAATTCGAGTCTTAAAAGTATAATGGTAGACAAATTAATGATTTGGTATAATTTTGAACTAAATACTGAATGGATATTTGAATTTAAGTATTATTTCGTCCCGTAGAATCCTATATCCGCAAATGTCATATGTCCTATATTTGCAAATGTCAGATTCGATTCGTCTGCAGAATTTTACAGCCTTTTTTTATTATCTTCTGAAAAAAAATTTTAAAGAATTAAAGCCAATTTGATTTTTTTGCTCGATTGTCATAATAAAAAATTGTAACTACAATATGGATTTTCGGAAAATCTGGCAATACATTATAAGAAAATTATCTGACAAGCTCTTTTAGGCTTTTATCATTGTTAGATGTTAAAAGTCTCGGATCTGACTATTTAAAATAATATGATTTTTTTTTTTTGCTAATGCAACGAAGTGTTTACACGATTGTCAGGTTTTGATATCAAGTAGCTGTTTGTCAATAATAGTGCTAAGTTTACACAATTGTAAGACATTTTCTGTGAATATTTCTGACAATATTTTTAGATCTGACAGTCGTGTATACATTGCTTTATAGGACACTATTATAAATAAATTTTTTAATTATTTTTGATAAAATTTTACATTTGCCATAACTGATAAGAATTGTATAATAACAAAATGTTTGCATTTTTCTTACTAACACATTCGTAAGATTATTTATAGCTGAGATTGGTTTGCAACTCAAACCATTCTTGTCAGTTGCATATAAAGTTATAGTTGTGTAGAAAATTATAGAAATAATGGAAATTTAATTTTGTTTAGAACAAAGAAGTTTCTTTGTTTTAAAGAGCAAGCAACAAGCAGTAACACACTATAGATATTATATTTTTGATTTTGAAAATTAAAAAATGACTATCCTGTTTCTATAATTGTTTACAGCATTGTACATACTTGTTAAAAACCACCTCCACTTTGTTGAACTATACACAAAGACGACGCGACGGGTGACGTTTATCGTAAAAATGTGTTTGTGTACGTAATTTGTTTCGTCTTATCCAAACTAGGATCACAAATTTGTTCGATTTAGTAGTTTCTAAAACATTGAACATAACAGTTCATTCGGAGTGACCGATAAAAGAAATATTTAAATATTTTAAAACCAAAGGATTTTAAAGATTTAACTGTGATATTAGAAATAAACTAAAATATTTTAATATAAAATATTACATACTATTAATTATTTTTAAATGCAAAAAAGATTAAATCAAAATGACCACCAATAACAACACAAATGTGCATAATTATGCAGGCGCTAGTAGTGATATTAGTGGTGATAATAAAATCCCTATAACTTGGAAAAAATATGGTGAAATTTATTGCAATCATTTAGAACAGACGGTGTTTGTTTGTTCAATATGTTTACAAAATGCGGACAATATTAATATGACATATTCCACAAGTGATGCATCAGCATTTTGGTGCCACATACAGCAACAACACATTTCAGTGGAATATGAAACTATAGACAAAATATCTGAGGAAATACGAAATTTCACAAAAAATGAAGTAAAGACTGAAGACTCAAATGAGGAAAACGCTTCAAAAATGAAGGAATCAGCAGATTTTAAAATTGTAAGAACAACAAAGAGAAGTAAAGGGCAAATATTTCGTTCATTTACAACTAAGGGTTCATAATCAGAATATCAAAAAATGTGATCGTAAAAAAGTGATAATGCGCATAAAAAATGCTATTGAAAATAAAAAATATGTATATTTACTCTAAAAATATAAAAAACATGCTCTAGCATGCACATTTCTCATTTGAAAGTTCTATTAATAAAAAATAAATAAAATATTTCAAAAACTAATGTGTCCTTAACCATACAGAGCACAAAAAGAATGAATTCTAAATCGAATTGAAATATTATAAAGTACCAGTCTTTAATATCATGCCGGGAAATAATTCTGAAAGAAGTCTCTTTTTTTAATTATTAATCTTACGTCCGTCTGTCTGTGTGTTGAAATAAATTTTCCGAAGACCCCAGATATCTTCGGGATCTAAATCTTCAATAATTCTATCAGACATGCTTTCAAGAATTTTTCCTCATGATTGACAAAAAAAATTTGAAGAATTTAAAAAAGTCCTATTGTTTACCCAATTTTACACTTGTAATCTTGAGATGTGACAAGTTCAAATAGGCATCTATTTAAACATGTGATTAAAAAACGTTTAAATTTCTAAAATGAACAGATTATTATACCTTACGCCACTTTAGTGGGGAAGGTATATTGGTTTGTGCTGATGTTTGTAACGCACAATAATACTGGTCCTATACCCACCTTAAAGAATACCAGTCGGCTTAGAATCATTTTCTGAGTCGATTTAGCTATGTCCGTCTGTCCTTTTAATCAAACTACAGGTCGCAATTTTGAAGATAATTCAATTAAATTTGGCACTTGATCTTCTATAGTACAAGAGACTATTGAAAATGGTTAACATCAGTCCATTATTTCACCAAGCCCCCATACAACTGAACCCCCGGATTGGGCTTTTATGGTTATAGTTATGCTTAATATACTCGTATCTCGACAAAAAGCTGCAAAACCAAGTTCTATACTAGCCCTGATGACCCTCATGAATATTATAATTATAGGGCCTCATTTGACCCTAACCCCTATATAAAGCCCTTATATGGTCGGCCTCGCCCGAATATAATTTCCTACTTGTTTTTACTAAAATTTTTAATAATATTCATATGAACTATTTTATTTTAATAACTCTTTAAAATGAAAACTCATATAATATATTTTCTTTTTTAAGAAATAGCTAAAAAATAAATTTTTTAAAATGGTCCCGCATACAACGTCACAAATATAAAAATTCTATTATTTATCAACGCAAATTTAATTTGTATTTAATAAAAGCTGTTGTTTTATTGTGTGATTAATATATTCTAAAGTTAAAATTCTAAGAAGTTTTAATGCAATTTTTGAATGTTAATAGGTGGAATTAAATTAAACCAATATTCTTATTGTTGCAGAAAAAAGATCAGATAAAATTGTTGGAGAAATTTCATGAAAATCTGATCAAAAATAATGGTGTCAAGGAAACCGAAGACAGTGACATTTTCAATGAAATTGATATTGAAAGAAAGTCACAACAAACTGATATTTTATCTGAAGGAGATGATGTGAAGCCAAATATTAAAGTAGAAGATATGGAAAAATATGAGAATAAATTTTCAAATTGTAACTACTATTATGATAATGAAACTTATATAATATCAGATGACGATGATGAAGATGATAATGATGATAATCTAAATCATGAAGGCGAAACCAAACCGCTCATAGAAACAAATTACCTCAGACATAATGACATGATTGAAATATCGGATGATGAAGATAATCAAGATCATATTGACACACTACCAAACTCTCCTATTTCAACAAATGAAGACACTACAATAAATGAAGTTAATAATAGAATGGAAAACGAACCGTCAGATCAAATAAATCATCCTGATGTGTTAGACAGTGAGAGTCCTAATACTAATGAAGGTAATTACTGTTATTCTATGGTAGCTTAATATATCAATTATAAACTGCTTTAGCTGATCACGATTTACGAAATACATTAAGATTCTAAAATGTGTGGTAAAATATGGTCGTCCTTGTTTAGCACTTATAAGTGTTTTAAATTTCAATTTTAAAAATAATTTGTTTTTATAGGAAATAATGTTTATCAGCCAAATACTAATGTGATGCATTTAACAACCAGTATACCCACACCAGATGTATCACCCTGCGGATCTGTAACAACTCAGCATTTAAATATTCCCCAATACAATCAACAAACCGAAGGATATTACAGTAATTCTCACTCGAATCGACTCCATCAGTTGCCTAAAAAAAGAGTCGCAAACTTTAGAGCATTCAAGTGCAATATCTGTGGTTCACGGACCATTAATAAAACAAATATGGAAAACCATCTACAACGAGTTCACAATATCTCACCACAAGAATTTACAAGTAATGAATTTCCTCACAAGCGATACCATCTAGTACAGCGACCATATCACAATAATCAGCAGAACAGTGAAACTATGTACTTACAAAATAAACCATTTAAGTGCAAAATTTGTAATGCAAGAACGAAAACAGAATTAAACATGAAAATGCATCAGTTTTTACATCATAGCCCCGATTCACACTTATATACAACAGAATGTGGAATATGTAAGAAAAAAGTATTAAAAACAAAATTCCAAAAACATATTCTATATCATTCAGGGCACAAATGTGATTATTGTGGAGTTGTCTATAAACAAAAATATTATCTTAACATTCATATTAGAAAGGAACATTCAGAAAGGAACTTATGTTCGGTACCGGTATATCAGCAGCAAATGAATACAAATTTCAACATTCCATCTGAAATTATTATAACAAAATACCAGGTACATAACAAAATTTATCCGCAAAATAACCAGCAATACGACAAACAATCGACAATAGTGACATCTACACTAAATTCTACAGATGTGAATTTAACAACGGCAGAAGAGCAGCAGCTAAGATATCAGGAATGCGAACAAATTTGGAAACTTTTCGAAAGCAGTAATAATATGAGACCATGATTTATGATCATGCAGCAATCTCTACTCAATAAAAGGGCAGTAGAGTGTCCCGAGGAACAGCCTTTTCATGCGGAAATATCTCTCAATCGAAGCGTATTAATGTACTGAATACGAGACTTTCAATTCTCCACCAGCGATTGAAAGTCCTAACCTCAGTATAATTTGTGAAAAAAATGTTTCCATTTGAAAATTTTGAAACTTCAATCAGTAATGTTTACATGATCAGTAATGTTTACATGAACTGATTAAAGTATTATTTTAAGTTTATTTTTATTTGAAACCGCTAAATGTTATTGTATTTTATATATGTACATACATAGTTGTAAGTAATCTTTATGTTTTTAAACCACAAAAGAATTTCATTCCTGAAAAAAGTTTATTATAATATACATTGTACCTATAGGTTATACTATACACCAGTGTATACTATACACATAGGCATTTTAGAAATATATGTATGCGTTTGCATATTTTCCAGTAAAAAAATATCCAATAACTTTATAATGGAGGGTTATTTTTTAATTGGGCCGATTTGCATGAAATACAAGTTTCTAAATAAAAACAATTTTTAGTTTTATTAATTTTTCATTTTTTTTCTTTAAAAATTTGTCAAATTTGTATATTTTTATAGTTGGAATTCTACTCGGTAGTTAAGATTAATGTTTAAATTACTGTGGTAAATATCTTCTTAATTACCTTTTGGGTTATTTATAAATATAATTTTAAATTTTCCATTTTATCGGGTATTTACCAATTGGGTATTTACCCTTTTTACATCTCTATCTATTTTACTATAATCCCAAATAGACTACACAAGCGGCCTGACAAACATACCAATATTTTACGTTTGTGCAAGCCTGTTGTGTAGTGTATGAGAGTGTTTCGTGTTTGTACGAAAATTGATTTTTACACAAACATTTGAATTTTTTTCAAACCGTTTGTATTGTTTATATTCATTAATAACAAATTTTTCACAACATTTACATTTCTAAGAAAAATTGTCATCTGTATCTTTGCAAGTCCATAAAAACGTGAAAAAATCGGTGTTTTTACGATCAATGTTTGTGTAGTGTGTGTGCGAATGGAAAAAGTATGTTTAATAAGCCGCTTGCTTATTCTATTTGGGCCTGGAAAAAAATCCCAGTAAAATTATAAAAATTGGATTACAAGAGAAGAAATGAGGATGAAGAAGACAGAAAGAAGATAATTTTGTTCGATAGATTGATGTGTATTTTCTCACATCCATACCCTAATTCTGTTAGACATAATTGAGTATTTATTCTGTAAGTCAATAATCTTTGTTGTCTGTGACAGTAACTCTTTATAACCCAGCAAAAAATAATGGAAGTCATACTTTACAAACGACATCAAAATTACATCTGAAAATGCGATTATATTACACCCTGAAACAATTTTGAAAAAAAGCTTTCACACATAGAAAATTCAACATGCACGTGAAACTAGATTACATTCGTAACAATTCTGCGTACTCTGATTTTTATAATCAGCTCTTATGTCCTTATAAAAGGACTTATAATTTCTAACGAATATTTTAAATATTTATATGTGTTTTATGATGCTAACATTGGTATTAAATGAAAGCTGGGAATGTGTACATTTTATATATGTATATTATTTATTTGAATCACTAAGATAAAAAATCAAAAAATAAATTAAATTTAAAAAGGTCTCATATTCGAAACAAAAAAATGTTAACTACTTTTTTGTGACAAACTTTCCTTAAGCTTCCATTTCTTTTTTGATCCTGATGAATTTAAATAAATAATATATTTTGAAGCAGAGGTTCTCAGCTTCATTTGATATTAATAATTATACAAAATTTTTTATATAAATTTGGTATTCATCTTTTGAAATCATATGTCCTTTTACAGGGGCATAAGAGCTGATTATGAAAAACAGTTTCCTGTACACATAGATTTTTTCATGTGTGAAAATGACTGTTGCACGGTGTTATATAATGCTTTTATAATCCAAGAGTTCCTTTATAACTGTGTATATAAACCTAGATAATAATGAGCAAAAAATTTAGAAAAGTCACTGATTAAAATATGTGTATGTATGAATAATTATATGTATGAATGATTATAATTTATAATCATTTGCTCTATAATTTGTATAAGGTTTATAATTAAATTATAATCTAATAAAGAATAATAATAATAATAATAATAATAATAATAATAATAATAATAATAATAATAATAATAATAATAATAATAATAATAATAATAATAATAATAATAATAATAATAATAATAATAATAATATAATCATTCATACATATAAATAACATTATTATACCCTTCACCTTCGTGAGAAGGGTATACATATATAAGTTTGTCATTCCGTTTGTAATTTCTATAATATAATTTTCGACCCCATAAAGTATATATATTCTGGATCCTTATAGGTAGCGGAGTTGATTAAGCTATGTCCGTCTGTCTGTCCATCTCTGTGTTTGTTGAAATCAGTTTTTAGAGGACCCCAGATATCGGCGAGATCCAAATCTTCAATAATTCTGTTAGACATGCGAGAAGATCACTATTTAAAATCAGCAAAATCGGTCCATAAATACCGGAGATATGAGCAAAAATCCGAGACAACCTCTGAAAATTTCATAAAAAAGACAATTTTTTTCATGCTTATTATTCATTTAGTATTTCGTTTCATGTGTTTGGATGGCTGTGTGTTTCATTGCCTTGTGTATATTGTTTTTTGGTGTATTCAGTTTCGTATGTTTGGATGTCTGTTGGTTTCATTGCGTTGTGTATTTTGTTTTTGCTTTTTTTTGGAGTATTTCGTTTCGTATGTTTCATTGCCTTGTGTATATTGTTTTTGTTTTTTGGTGTATTCAGTTTCGTATGTTTGGATGTCTGTAGGTTTCATGGCGTTGTCTATTTTGTTTTTGTTTTTTGTGTATTTCGTTTCGTTTGTTTGGATGTCTGTTGGTTTTACTGCCTTGTGTAATTGATTTTTTTGTGTGTTTATTTCGTTTAGCGTTGTTGTTGTTCGTTTTGCTATTACCATATGTTACGGAACGTGATTCTGGCGAGGTTTCCAGCTAGCTTTGGCATGTATTTATACTCAGGCGGTTCCAACCCTACTCACCAGGCACAACTCCGAACAGTAAACAAAAGAATTACAAAAACACTACATTAAAACAGAAATTACACCAACGAATCTACCACATGAAGAATCTTGAGACAGTTGACAGTCTCATCTGCCCTCCCGACCTTGTCGTAGCTGCATCCGCATCATTTTTGGCTAACGACCCATTTCCGCTCGACCTTTACCCTCAACTTACCATTCCATCATTACCTTCACCTTGTTATTCAATAAATCCTCATAAATATTAGTTTTACAATATACCAATCACATCTTTTATTAATTGGATTTGAACATTTTGACTTATTTTGACTAAGAAAGATAACAATAATTTATAACAAAACAGCGATAATCCTATTTATACATTTTTCCCTCGCATTTTAATATTACTTTACCCTATCTTTGTAAGTTTATTCTAGCTATCTAGTGCTCAAGCTAACTATTTACCCTCTATTTCAGGCTTAACGTTTACAACATTGACTACACCTAAAAGAGCTCTCTTAAGCCTAATCTCATCTGCCATTATGCAGTAAATTCAAATAAATTAACGCGCTACTTGGGCTCTAGATTTAAATTTTTCTATTATTGAGCAATAATCGAGGGATAAGTGTATTTTACACACATAAGTAGACAACACATACACCTAAACTAACAATCAACGCGACACTTATAATTTTTGTTCACAAAAACACTACTAACTTAAAATTAACTTAATCTACATCCAGGAAAGCGTTATTTATCTTTTATCAATCTTTTCAATCAACTTTGTTTTGGTCCGTTTATATAGGAGAATAATATTCAACAATTTTCTAATCTCGCACTTCTTATCTTTCTCCCAGTTTTGAATTAGAAAGTTTTCTTTAAAAATCATTATCGTAATGCAGAGTACTAATTATGTTTGCCATGTTATACACTTTGCCACATTAACAACATCTCTGCCACTGGGCCATTGGCAAGAATAAAAATTTTGTTTTGCACTTAAAACTTATAAAAAGGGTTACCTGGCTATTATATTTGCTTTGCGTGTGGTTTGGGAAGACGTCTATTCGGTGCCCTTTTCTCCAGATAATAATAGCCAGCTGTTTTAAAAGAATTCCAATTTTAGGAAACATTTCAAAATTCATTTTTTTTATTATTTTCAACTTACGTTTCCCTTTAATTCTTTTAGTCTCACACACAAAAAAAATTTATACTGTAACCACACAGTTTTCAAATATATTTTCCTTTTCACTTTTTTTTAACGTCTTTACTTGACGGCCTTAGTATCGCTTTTAAATTTTCTTTTTCTCTACTAAACTTAACTTCTTTGTCTTTTGCAAATTAACTGGAAAATCCATGTTGCCAGTTTTCATACCGTTAACTGTAAGTATTTACATTTATTTATTTATTTGAAATATATATTTAAATCTTTTATAGCTGCCAGCCAAATGTTTATATTACATATATGTATCTGGTTTTCCCCAATTCCTTATGCATAGACAGGCATCTTTCCTACTCCTCCCGACCCATAATCATCATCAAAATCTTTGTCCGCAATTATTATGGTATCAGGCTTTCATAAAAATTAGCAATTATTATTTCCATTCATAATTTATTTTCATTTTCAAAACCCGCCAAAATTATTATTTTTCATTCCTGAATGGAAAATGCAACCCTGTGCTTTACGCCATATCGCCGCGTTACTACATTATAGTAAAGGCATTCCTACACCGAACAGCTGACACACAACCAAACACATAAGAAACATACAACAAGAAGAAGAAACTCATAATAAATCACATGCAAACAAACAATACCAAAAAAAAAAAAAAAACAATAAAATATATACACATAAACGTGTCCAAAAACAACAAACAAATTGAAACATATAAACAAATCAACTAATAAACAACAGATAAAACACAAACAAACCACAGTGCCAGCAGCTCTACTTTAGGTTCAGATCACTCGCAACACATAA